ACAGATTAAAAATGTTTTTATTTTATTATTAAATGCATTAAATGGAAGTGTTATAGAAATCACGCTCAGCAGGAGACCAAGCACCGCTAGAAGAGCTGAAGAACTTTCTGCTTATTTATTAAGAACTTCTTTATTTAATCCTGTGGACCAAAATAGGCTGGTGCTCTGAAGTTCTGGGCCCCGAGCTGATATTACAAGGGGTTTTGATGGGAGATCTGACATCGTTTCATAACCGTCCCGACACTGGTGGGTTTGAATTCTTGCCTACGTGACGGAAGACCATGCACAGGGAACTAGGTTAAGTAGTTCACGGGTGTAGAACAAGGACAGTACAACACCTGCGAGTGTTCTCATGAAGTGGCCCTCACCACAGGCAGCAGTAACTCAAGTTCCCTCCCAAAGAACTAAGCCTATAAGCTCATAGTTGACAGCGGTTAATTGGCCTAGCAATTAAGTGATGTACCTACGTTTGTACAGTGTTCAGAGAGTTACATAGTATAGGAGAATTAACCTTTTCCCCAGGCATAGACTCTTCCTCATAATGATGTTATAATTTCATTTCATTCAGGTCTGATATTTCCATCACAAAAGTATAAAATTTAAAGTATAAAAATTAAAGCTTGCAAGGCAAGCTTTACACACTTGTACTCCCAGTGACTCTGGAGGCTGAGGCAGAAGGATCAAAAGTTCAAAGCCAGCCTTAGCAACTTAGCAAGGCCCTAAGCAAGACTCTGTCTATAAATAAAATGTTTTTTAAAAGGGCTGGGGATGTGGCTAAATGGTTAAGCACCCCTGGGTTGAATTCCTGGTGCCAAATAATTAAATTAATTAATTAATTAAAGGAAAAAATAAAAGTAAAGCTTTTGGCAAAAAGGAGAGATAAAAAGGGAAATAAAATTTGTAATCACATAGGTGTATCATTACAATGAAGAAACAATAGTGGTTATGGATGATACGTTGGAGGAGCACAGGGAATGTGGGGAGAATGTTCACCGTTTCTGCCCCAGAGGCTGTACAGAAACACACTGTGCAGGAGACTTTCCTTCTCCCACCCCTCCTCCCCTCCCTCCCTCCCCTCAGGTGACCAGCCAGACTGTGTCAGGCAAGACACCACCACCTTCCTGCAGAGTCTGCAGTCACAGCACATTTTCTGTTCTTTTTAAAATATTTTTAATATAAAAATACCTTTATTTTATTTAT